TAGAGCCGCGGAGGGGGGGGCGCACATCCCGGGACCTCATACAAGCGATCACTTGTATGTTAACGGGCATCTCTGCCTGTTTTCAAATATCGTGCATTTCCGGCTCGCGCGCCCAGCTACGCGCGCAAGGGGGCACACGTAGATCTAGAGAGCTCCTGGCCGGCCGTTTTTTTACAACGGCTGGCCGTGAAGTGGTTAATTCACTTTCTCATTCCACATTCTTGCAGATTGTTTGAGTCCGTAGATGCTTTAATGGAGTTTAAACAAAAGGTTGTGTCCTTGTTCAAACCCTGGTTGTTGCTCCATGTAGAGATCTTCCTTAATGTCTCCATGTAGGAAAGCGGTTTTAACATCTAAGTGTTTCACTTGAATGCCCTTCCATGCTGCGATGCTGAGGAGTGTTCTGAGTGTTGGAGTGTTTTACGAGGGGAGCGAATGTTTCATCATAGTGTTCTCCAAATTTCTGGGCCTTGTTTTTGTGGATATTTCCTTCTGCATCGAGCTTCACTTAAAAGTCCATTTGCTTCCTATAGTTCTGTCTTTGGGGGGAAGCTCAGTGAGTGTCCAGGTTTTATTTTATTTCTTCTTCTGCTGCCTTTCTCCATTGACTGGCTTTGCGTTTTGGTAATTTTTCTATGTCTTCCCATGATGTTGGTTTGAGTATGCTATGTGTCTTAGCAGTATATGACAGCTTGCAGGGTAGTATTCCCTTTGTTGCCCGAGTGGATCTTCTAATTTCAGGTTGTTTAGTAGAATATAACATGGAACTTGACTTATCCATTGTGAATTCCACCTCTTGTTCTGACTCCTGTGCGGCTTCACTTTGCTCAGCTTCCTTTGCTGGTTCACTTGGCGAATTCATTTCACAATTTCCTTGGATCATTGTTTCTGGTGATGGGTTCTCATTGAAATAAATGCTGCGACTTATTGTCACTTTGTCAGTCTTTGGCTGGAGTATTCTATATCCCTTACTTTCTTCACTTTAGCCCACCAGAAAACCTTCAATGGCTGTGTTGTCCAATTTGGATCGCTTCTCGTTGGGAGTATATGCATAAGCTTTACATCCAAACACTGTAATGTGCCCTAGGCTAGGCTTCGATCCATGCCGCATTTCAAATGGGGTGCTTTCAATGGCTTTTGATGGTAGTCTGTTTTGTAGGTATGTTGCAGTCATGACTGCTTCTCCCCAGTACTTCTTAGGTATGTTGGCATCTGACAGGATGCATCTGGTCATTTCTATTTCTCCTTTCTGCTACACCATATTGTTCAGGATTGTATGGTGCAGTGGTCTGGTGTACTATACCCTGTATCTTCAGCTATGATTCCAGTTAATTACTGATGTATTCCCCTCTGTTGTTGGTGTGTATAATTCCTGCTTTTTATTGGAATGTGTTGCTGGACATGGCTACAAACTCTTGAGGTTTTCCTGATGTTTCATTCTTGTGCTTCATCAGATAAGTTGTTGTGTACCTGGAATAATCATCAATGAAAGTCAGTAGATATCTGTTCCCGCCTGATGTGGGAGTTTTCATTGGTCTGCACACATCGCTGTGTATGAGCTCCATGGGGTGGGTGTTTTTTGTTTTGATAGGCTGTGGAAGTAGGGTACATGTTGCTCTTGCTTCCATACAACATTTGCATGTCATGAGCATTCGGCAGGCCAGTACTGTTATGTCTTCTGATAAGCCTCTCTTTATATTATACTTTTATAGCTGGGTTTCGGTGTTGTAGTCGTCTGTGCCATAAATGGATACATTTGTTGTGTGGATTATGAGTGGCTGTCTTGACTTGTTTATCTGCAGTGATGAGTCTGTACAGGTGATCATCCAGTTTTCCTTTTGCAAGGATTTGCTAATTGTTTCTGATAGTAAATTCATCACCTCGGAATTGAACTGTGCGACCGTTATTAGCAAGGGTTTTCACTGATTGAAGACCTCCTTCTAGGTCTGGGACATACAGTACATTTTTTCACGAGGATACTCTGCTTGGCCCCTGAAGGTGTGTTTGCATTGCATTGAAATCAATTTCTGTGAAAAAGGTCTCATGGCTTGTTCAGTCAATACACTATCCGCCTGGTTCTGAGTCACTTTAAAGGTAGCGCTCTATGATGTGCCTGCAGTTTCCTTTTGTGACTGCCTTAGCTCTTTCTCTTGTAGGTGCCTGTCACTTACGCTGCTAAGTTTTCCAGATGAAACAGTCCTTTTTCAGGTGACCAGTCTTTTTAGAGCAAAATTAGGCTCTGCTTTTTTGCTTTGTGCTCTCATTCACCTTAAAGTGACATTAAACCCTCAGATTTTTTAACATAAACCAATACTGTAATGTGTGGCTTACTGTAATCCATGGTTGTTTCCCTTCTCTTTGCTGCTCTTCCTTTTAAATCATTATCACTTCTCATGCTGGGATAGAACTTCCCTTTGCAGCTGAGTGCCTCTTCCTGTAGTGCTGGCTCAGGTTGTGAACCTTCACACAGACACCATGTATCCATTTCAGAGACAAGGCAGTCTGCTGCAAAACAGAAGTTCTGCCCAGCATGAGAAGAGATACGGATTAAAAATGAAAAGCAGCAAAGAGAAGGCAAACAACCATGGATTACAGTAAGGCACACATTACAGTATTGTTTTATGTTAAAAAATCTGAGGGTTTAATGTCACTTTAAGGGCATTCTCATTTTCTTCATTGTGCATAATTTCTTTCCTTCTGTCATATTCATTGATTCATTTTCCTATGGTGCGCTCTAGTGTTAGTTTCTGCTTCAGTCTGGTTTCTAGAGTGTTAATTAGAGCACTGTATGACTCTGGAAGGCTGCATAGCAGTAATGTCACCGTGTGGTTATCTTTAATTTCCTCTCCAATTGCACATAGCTGTTCTACGACTTCCAGCATGGCATTCACATGTTTATGCATTTTGTGGCCTTTTTCTAGCCTCATCTTATATAGCTTGCATAGCAGATATAATTTACTGTTTAGGCTTGAACGCTCATGCAGTTTTTGTAATGCAGCCCACATACCTTTAGCTGTATTCTCTTTTCTTATGTGGATGAGCTGGTTGTCTTCCACTAGCAGACTAATAATTGCTTTTGCTGGCCTGTTCTTCTTGTCCCAATTCCTTTGTGGGTCTATTAGTGGGCCTGTCTGTACGCAGTACTTGCCACAAGTCGTCTTTGCTTAGCAGCATTTCAAGCATTAACGTCCATAGCTGGTAGTTGGTATTTTTGAGCTTTGCAATTGCAAACTTCATATCTGAGCATCTTGTCATCTTTCGGTAGCTTGGATGCAGTTCTTGTTGACCAGCCGTGTTCTGTTTAGTGCCTGGGTCCATAACCTGTTTGTTATGTGTTTTAGATGAAGCACTGAGATCTTGAGGAATGCTGAAGTTTTACTTGCTTAGAAGAACATTAACAGTATTCAGTGTATGCTGTTGTATTTCCAACACTTATTACATTGGTGGTCATTGGCATGTGTGCCTCTTTCATTGGTGGTAGGTGGGAACTAAATTGTTTACCTACCTTACAAAAACTGCTAATGTTTCACACCACTTCTTTCAGGCTTCTGAGGCAGGGCTGGAACTGTGCAGTCAGTGTTGGGCTGCATATTCCTCTGCCCAGCATTACCTGCATACAACAGAGCAAGTCACTCTGACAGTGTGGCTTGCACTTTTGGGTCTCACTAGACCTAGGTCACCAGACATGAAACCTATTACCCGTCTCAGATGTTTCCCGGGAGGCACTGGGTACCCAAAAAATCACAACAATGAACACCTACACTTTGCTGAAGTGCATTATTACAGGATTTCATACAACCAGCATTTAAAGAGTGAAAAGCTGTGAATGTGTACTTGTGCAATATATGTTATCTAGTGTACCTCTCTTTGTGTATATGGCCTGTGTGTTTACCCAGATCAGCATGATCACTTAAGGTTATTCATTGTGTATGTTTCTTCCTTGTTTTGTATGCTGTCCCTGTGTACCATTGTGCTGTAGACTCACCCAGTGTTCTAGTCTGCATGTAATTCAAGATTCTAGCTGATTCAATTATGATTGGTTATATACTATTGTCAAGATAACGTTGTAAGCTGACTAAATACAAGAGTTGTGGGTATTCTTTCTTGAATATTGGTGTCCTCTGTGTATTTCTTCCAGACCTGAGCAGCATGAATAACTCCTACACTTTCCTATAATAAAGACTGCTTGCAGGTGGAAAATGAGACCTGTCAATTAGGCGATAGGGATTTTTCAAAGCTTGAGCTCACTTGAATAACACCCGCTTTTTTCATAACTAGGCCACACTACATTTAACAATGAGGGTTTAATGAGGGCTAAGATATAGTTCTAACATGTAGCTATCACTTCATCAACTATTCATTTGTCTTGTGCATGAAACTGCTGCACTATTTTTTAAAAATAATTAGTGCCCTGTTTCTTCCTGATCATGTTTTATAACTGCTTTTTTACAGCGCGAGATGATGTACAGCTCCAGGGACTCATCCCCAACTCGACGTTTGAACAACATATCTCCTGCTCCCCACTTGGCTTCTAGTTCTCCTCCACCTGTTCTCCAGTCCTCCTCTCCAGCACGTTCCCGCATGTCTTACAGTGGCGGGCGGCCACCTTCATATGCTGGAAGCCCTGTTCACCATGGAGACCGAATGTCTGGCCTTCCTCCAGCTCACGGAGTCTCCCCTAGTCCTAGTGCTATCCTGGAGAGAAGGGATGTAAAACCTGATGAAGATCTTTCCAACAAGAACGTAGTGCTGGTAAAGAATGAGGGACTCTATTCGGATCCCTATGGAATGGTCCATGAGGGTAGGCTCAGCATTACTTCTACACAGTCCCTGGCTGGTTTAGGGGACCCTTTTTCATACCCCGGTGGCCTGTACAAGAGAGGCTCAGTCCGCTCTCTGAGCACTTACTCTGCAGCTGCTCTGCAAACTGATCTAGAAGATGGGATGTATAAACCCAACTCTCAGATATATGGAGACACATATGGCCCTGGAATGGGTTTCCGTATTCCACCGTCCTCCCCTCAGAAAGTTTCAGATGGAAGAATGGTGGATATTCAGCAAAGTCAGGGCCCTCACAGCCCCTACTCAGGGCCATCCAGCCGCAACTCTCCTGTACGCCAGACTTTTCGCAAAGATTCCTCTTCTTCTGTTTTTATGGACAGCCCTGTTGGAAAACAGAGAAACCCAAGCTCTTCCTCAGGCACCAATGACATTTTCTCTGGGCCAGAACGGCCCTTGTCTGGGTTCAGCTCTCCAGTGCCTGCTAAGGAAACAGAAACACGGTGAGGATATCCCTTTCATTGTAATCTCTGGTAATAATAGTAATACATAGTACAATAGTTGATCTGCAACTAGAGGAGATGGTACTGAAATATTTAATTGATCTCAAGTGTTTAACCACTCCATGGGCTATTAATACATTACATTAATTTTAGCTTCATATATCATCAACCTAGTAAAATTGTTATAAATGGCAATGTCTGTTTAAACATTCCACACTGATGTAATAATATGTAATAGTTTCAAACTGATGCTTCTAGGTAGAGCACATACATATGTTTATGTATAAAATTGTTACATCATTTGGCATGAACATATGTATTTTTTAGATATACAGTAGGTATAAAAAAGATCAGATTGATCTAAATATTGTCGTTAATGTGTATTAGTTTGTTAAACAATTATCATTTGTAATTATGTATATGGGGACAGATATATTTGTTCACCAACTAACTTAAGTTAGCGGGGGTATCCCTTGAACTTTTTCCAAAAACCGATTAATAACGTCGTACTACTAGTGCTATTCCTTTAGATTAGAGAATGAAGGGAAACCTGCATGAGATAAATATATGGAATGCCATTAGGCCTAAAACAACTAATCAATAAAGTTGATAATAATCGATAATGAAAATTGTCAACAATTTTCATTATCGATTAGTTGGTCTGCTTGCACCCTCCCCGCCTCACTCGCATGCTTGTGACTGACCCACGGCCTCCTCCTCACCTGGATGATCTCCTCCTCCCATGCATGATCTCCTCTCCCCCGGGATGAATAGGTAGGGCCATTCCGGCGTCACCTGGAGTCCCGTAAGCGAGGAACGTCTTTCCCGTTCAGGACCCGCAGCCTGCCTTTTCTCTCAGCCCTTTCCTCCTCTCCTCCTCCCTGGACTGCTCATACAACAAGTGTAAGTAGTGGGCTGTATGTGTGCTGTGTGTGTACTATGTGCAATATGTGCTGTGTGTGTACTATGTGTTGTATGTGTGCTGTTTGTGTGCTCATACAACACATAATACATTAATACAACACATAGTACACACACAGCACACACAGAACACATGATACCACACACGGCACACATACAACATAGTACATACACATTACACGTACAACGTACAATATATGTATATATATATACACATATATATATATATATATATATATCAACAAGTATTCAAAAAATCAAGCAGTCAAAATATCCCAAACAGTTCAAATCCAATTTTTTAACGCCACTTATCTTCCAGGCACTTTGTTCCCCAAGCCCTGTGTGAGCATTTATTCAGTTCATTTATTTCACTAATGCAACTTAAAAGGTGAAACTAATATATGAGATAGACTCATTACATGCAAAGCAAGATAATTCAAGCCGTGATTTGTCATAATTGTGATGATTATGGCTTACAGCTCATGAAAACCCCAAGAACCCCAAATCCACAACCTCAAAAAAGTAGATTATTACATGCAATCAATAAAACAAGGATTGTACATAGAACAATATCGGACCTCTGAAAAGTACAAGCATGCATATGTACTCAGTACTTGGTTTGGGCCCCTTTTGCAGCACTTACTGCAATTACTTTTGCACGATATTCTAATTATTCGAGTTTCACCTGTATATATGTGTGCTCAGGGCCAGATTAAGAGCATCACGGGCTGAGGATTTTGGTGGACCTTTTTATGGAAATAGTGACATTCACCGGGGCCCTCTTCCTTCTGTCCGGGCTGTGATTTGTATTCTCTCTTCAGCTTGGAGTCAGTGGAGCGCCAGGGCCAGCTGCAGTTGTGACCCTGGTAGATCTGTCACTGACTCCAAGCTGTAGAGGGACTACAAATCTTAGCAATACATTATACAGCAATGCAGAATACCACCAGCTATAGAGAAGTACAAATTCCAGTAATATATTACACAGAAGTGCAGAATATCACCAGCTATAGAGGACTACAAATCCCAGCAATACATTTTACAGCACTGCAGAATAATACCACTAACTATAGAGGACTACAAATCCCAGTAATGCATTACAGAGCAATGCAGAATACCACCAACTATATACAGAATAATACCATCAGCTATAGAGGACTACAAATCTCAGCAATGAATTGTATAGCACTACAGAATAATACCATCAGTTTTAGAGGACTACAAATTCCAGCAATACATTGTAAATCACTGCAGAATAATATTATCAGCTATAGAGGACTACAAATGCCAGCAATACTTTATACAGCGATGCAGAATAAGATGAAGCTTCATACTCTGTGTTGCTCCGGGTTCGCAGCATGATGTCTCCAGGGTCTCAGGAGAGCTGTGTGGGGTTTACGGGGGGCTGTGCAGGCTCTTAGGTGGCCAGTGTGGCTCTCAGGGGTCCAGTGCGGGTTCTCAAGTGGTCAGTACGGGCTTTTAGGCAGTCAGTGTGGGCTCTTAGGTGGTAAGTGCGGGCCCCAGCCCGTCCTCAGTGCAGGCTCCAGGTGGTCAGTGAGACTGACAGATGCGACTCTCTACTCTGGCATATCAGAGGGCCCTCTAATATACCTGAATAGATGGCTGCGGCTGCCTGGTCACGGCTGGCCCAGATTGCCATTGAATCTGCCTGGCTGCGATTCGGGTCAGGTCGGCCTGGCCACGATTCGGGTCAGATCGGATGGGCCTATTTGCAGGGACGGGCCTGGAGCGGGAGATCCAACCAACCCTATGTTAGTCTGGCCCTGTGCGTGCACTATGTGCACATGTGTGCATTATGTGTAATGTGTGTGTACTATGTGTTGTATGTGTGCTGTGTGGTTACTATGTGTTGTATGTGTGCCACTAACTGTGCTGGAACGCACAGGAGATGGTGAACCGGCCCTAAAGCCTGTGAAGCCCTTGACACACTGCATTCGCAACCACGTGCAACAATGGAGAGTGGTGGTGGTGGAGCTTTGCGTGCAGTGTGTCTAGAAATATCCTTTCCTGCATTTAGCTAGGCGAAAGGAAAAATTTAATTTCTAGCCAATCGGCTCACAATTATAAATCCGTGCATCAGAATGCGGATTCAAAGGTGCAGCCAATCTTATTCCCCAGAAAAGGCGTCTTGTGAGAGGAGTCTAGGAGAGAAGTCCACTTGGTAATATTTTCCTTCCTGCACAAGTTCTTTCTATGATTATTAATAATATTTTAATAACTAATAATAGTTCATAATTCAATAAGTAATATTTATTAATTAATAATTACCTAAATATTAATATTAAATAATTAATAAAAAATTACATACATTTTTTTAAATCCGATTATTCTGAAAAATAATCGGCTAACTAATCGATAATGAAAAAAGTCGCTGTAGCTCTAAATGCCATGGTTAACCCATCCAATTCGTACTTCCACGACCATGTTGCAATCTTTTGTACACTTTAGACCTTTACCTTCATTTTTCTGTGCCTGCCTTCTCCTAAAAATGCTATTAAGGGAAATTCTCTTCCTATCTGCATACTTGTTCCAGATCAGTATTGAATTTCAGAGGATCAGCATGGCAGCCAAACAACTGGCATTTTGGAAGGAGTTTAGCAATGGTAGTGTACAGTGGATATAAAAAAATCTACACACCCCTATAAAAATGCCAGGTTTTTGAGATGTAAAAAAAACCATGCCAGGATAAATCTTTAATGTCCACCTTAAACTAATACTTTGTTGAAGCACTGTTTGATTTTATGAAAGCATTCAGTCTTTTGCAGCAGGACTTAAAGAGTGTGCAAATGCATGGGCATAATGAATTGTAAATCTTTTCAGTACTATTGCCAGCACTGTTCCTCGGAGTGCATATGCAGGGGTTAATGGATTGTAAATCTCTCCAGCTCTTTGACATCACTGCTTCTCAGAGAGTGAACTTCTGGATTATCACCAGTACTGCTCCCCAAAGATAGAGGAAGATGCTCAATTTGGGATGAAAAGTCCTCTTCAAGCTGTGATAAAGCTGCTACACATGCAAAATACTGCTATTAGAATCCAGCTAGCGGATTGGATCACAAGGATTGTACAACCTTTAAGCAGCGCTTGGTCTGCGATGGGTATGTGTTTGAGGATGCCCCACAGATGCTCAATGGTGTTTAGGTCTGGAGATATGCTTGGCCGTCCATCACTTTTACCCTCAGCTTCTTTAGCATGGCAGTGGTCATCTTGAAGGTGTGTTTGGGATCGTTATCATGTTAGAATACTGCCTGTGGCCCAGTCTCGGAAGGGAGGGGGATCATGCTCTACTTCAGTATGTCACAGTACATGTTGGCATTCATGGTTCCCTCAATGAACTGTAGCTCCCCAGTGTCGGCAGCACTCATGCAGCCCCAGACCATGACACTCCCACCACCATGCTTGACTGTAGGCAAGACACACTTGTCTTTGTACTCCTCACCTGGTTGCCGCCACACACGCTTGACACCATCTGAACCAAATAAGTTTATCTTGGTCTCATCAGACCATAGGACACGGTTCCAGTATTCCATGTCCTTAGTCTGCTTGTCTCAGCAAGCTCAGCAAACTGTTTGCGGGCTTTCTTGTGCATCATCTTTAGAAGAGGCTTCCTTCTGGGACGACAGCCATGCAGACCAATTTGATGCAGTGTACGGTGTATGGTCTGAGCACTGACAGGCTGGCCCAACCTTTGCAGCAATGCTGGCAGCACTCATACATCTATTTCCCAAAGACAACCTCTGGATATGACGCTGAGCACATGCACTCAACTTTTTTGGTCGACCATGGCGAGGCCTGTTCTGAGTACAACCTGTCCTGTTAAAACGCTGTATGGTCTTGGCCACCGTGCTGCAGCTCAGTTTCAGGGTCTTGGCAATCTTCTTATAGCCTCGGCCATCTTTATGTAGAGCAACAATTCTTTTTTTCAGATCCACAGAGAGTTCTTTGCCATGAGGTGCCATTTTGAACTTCCGGTGACCAGTATGAGAGAGTGAAAAGGATTACACCAAGTTTAACACACCTGCTCCCCATTCACACATGAGACCTTGTAACACTAACGAGTCACATGACACCGGGGAGGGAAAATGGCTAATTGGGCCCAATTTGGACATTTTCACTTAGGGGTGTACTCACTTTTGTTGTCAGCGGTTTAGACATTAATGGCTGTGTGTTGAGTTATTTTGAGGGGACTGCAAATGTACACTGATATACAAGCTGTATACGCACTACTTTACATTGTAGGAAAGTGTAATTTCTTCAGTGTCGTCACATGAAATGATATAATAAAATATTTACAAAAATGTGAGGGGTGTAATCACTTCTGGGAGATACTGTATATATGTATATACACACATTTTTTTTCAATGGTTTTGACAACTCTGTATGTTTAAAAAAATGATAAAAAATGTATTTGGGTACAGTGTTGCACAAACAAGCAAATGTCAAAATATCACAGCACTAAAAACTGGAAAATGGCCTTGTAATGAAGGGGTAATATACAGGGTAGTACTCAAGTAATTAAAATGAAAATATTATTTGTGTCCCTGCAGCTGATATAGTGACTGTGAGGCAAAATGTTAATATTTTTTTACTGTGTTAATAAATCAACAAACCTTAATGTCAGAATAACCATCTACTAATGAGATGTGTATTGGTGGACTGCTAGTCGCTTGTTCATTTAACATAATTTATTCATTAACCAGATTAATGGCTGTGTGCAGACATCTTTTTATGAATGTAATGTTAGCTTTTTCTAGCCATATGTAACAAAATGTCACTTTTTTCACTTATAAAATGTAATACTCGTGCAGCATTTTAAAAATAAATAGTTCTTCTAGAGTGACTTTCAGTCTGTTCATAGTAATAAAGAGTCGTTTTGTGTCTATTTTACAGGGAGAGGATGGAGGCTATGGAGAAACAGATTGCCAGTTTGACAGGTCTGGTCCAAAGTGCTTTGATGCGGAGCTCTGACAGTGAAAACACAAGGTATGGGAAAATAGGTTAAAGCTGTATTAAACGCTCAAACTTTTTTCAATAATAATGTCAGCTCACATAAATTACCGGTATACATTGCCCAGAAAAGTATTTCTTTAAATTTTTGCCCAAGCTCTTACTGTCATCATGCTTCAGCTGGCTCCAACTCTCTCAGCTCTGCTTCCCTTAATTTCCTAATGCATACAAGATCACAAGAGACAGCAAAGTCTCCAGCAGTTGTCCATCTACTAGCTTGGAGAAGGAAGGAGGGAGGAAGGAGAAGGGAGGAACAGGGGAGTAGCTTAACCTGCTGTGCCTGTGTTTTTTAGAGACACACAATTTACTTGAACACTCAAGGGTGGCTCCATAGGACCCTGCAAAGGAAAGGAACCACCCTAAAACAGGATATCAAGGCCAGCGCTCAGGGGAAGGGCTGATTCTGTAGGAAAATTAAACTTTTCAACATTCAATAGCATCATCCATTATAAGTGATTTAAGCTGCATTTGAAATAGCTTAAAAACATTTTGACTTTAATATCACTTTAATTAAGTGACAACAGCAGATCACAATTAGAGTGCAGCTGTACTGTGTAATCACAAAACGGGCAATTATAAAAAATTTGGTGCTTATCTGTAGGTATACAGTATATTTCTTTGGACTTCCAATAAGCTTTACTGCCCTTTAAGCCGTTTAAGCCCTTTCCCAAGTCCAGCCAGATTACAAAGCAGGCAGTCATACTATAAACATGATTTCAGCATTCAGCTGGTATTTTACAACTCAGCATAAGAGGTTCCAGATAATTACTCCAGCTGAAATGAAAAATGAATAGTTATCATGCAAAACAATATCACTTTTCCAGAGTTCAGTAAACCCTTATAACTCCCCCTTCAGCAATCTATAAAGCTGACCATCACTTAGAGAGGCTGCCATCCTAAAGGCCATTGGGATATGTCCTTAAAGTACATGTAAAAAAGAACAAATGGAGACAGCGGCTTTACCTCGTGCTTTAACGTTCATTGACAATTAATTAAAGAATAATAAAACTACGCACATAGGAAATAAATAAAGTCTTGTGGTGTATGATCAAACCAGGGACAACCAATGTACTCTGGGATGCCAATCATATCACAAGTCGTAATGTAAGACCACCACAGGATGCAAAAAAACTAGCTGATGCTTTTCGGAGTAATAATACATCTTTAAAGCTAGAGGGACACACCTCCAGAGCGAGTATATACACTGAGTGGCCAGATTATTATGACCACCTAACGTTTGTAGGCAAATTAGCTATAATTTCGCACTGAAGTTGCTAGAGGGCTAGACCATTATAAATAGGGAAGCAGGTTGTTTACCACAACAGTAGAAGTGATTTTTTTCTGACGATATGGGTAAACAACGCGATTTAACAGCCTTTGAACGTGGGATGATTGTTGGCGCTCGGAGCCATGGAGCGAGTATCAGCAAAACCGCAGAATTCGTTAAATGTTCAAGAGCAGTGTTGTTAAAGTGTTTAAAGACTGGACTGTCAGCTGAAAATCTGGGTCTGAACGTGCGAATTGTGGCCGTCATCGACTAGTCAATGTTGGGGCAGAACAGAGAGTGGCAAGACAGGTACAAGACAACAGAAGGGCAACAGTGCATCAAATTACTGCAGATCTTAATCAGGGATCCTCTCATATGATCTCTGAACGCACACTGTTCGCCGTTCACTGCATCGTATGGGATATGGAAGCCGAAGGCCTGTTCGAACACCTTTGCTGTCTGCAGTTAACAAGATAAAACGTCTCCAATTTGCACAGGAACACAAGGATTGGACAGTCAAGCATTGGAAAAAGGTCATGTGGTCCGATGAATCACGTTTCCAGTTGCATCATGCAGATGGCAGAGTGAGAATTTGGCGGAAACAGCATGAAAGCATGCACCCCACATGCATGAGTACAACCCTTCAAGCTGGTGGGGGCAGTGTTATGGTTTGGGGCATGTTTTCCTGGCATGATTTGGGCCCTTTAATTCGTGTGGAACAACGTCTGAATAGCACAACATACCAAAGTATCGTTGCTGATCAAGTTCATCCTATCATGTTGATGGCGTATCCCAATGGAGATGGCTTCTTCCAACAAGACAATGCGCCATGCCACGGTGCTCGTATTGTGCAGGAGTGGTTTCAAGAACATGAGGGAGACTTTACCTTGCTTAGGTGGCCCCCACAATCACCAGATCTCAATCCAATTGAGCATTTGTGGGACGAAGTTGAAAGAGCCATCAGGCAGCTGGTTCCACAACCATCAAATCTCACAGAACTGGACAGTGCTATTCATCAGGCATGGTGTCAGATTCCTCACATCACCTTTCAACATCTCGTGGAGTCAATGCCAAGAAGAATCGCTGCAGTATTGAAGGCTAAAGGTGGCCCAACGAAGTACTGATGGGGTGGTCATAATAATCTGGCCACTCAGTGTATACACGGAGGGATATGAGCACTCACCACAGCAAAGCCATCCAGCTCCAACCAACCAAACTCCACCCCCTCACCATCCTCATAAGGGAGAGCCAATCATTGATAACAAAGAAAAAAAAAGTTAAAAGCTGTGTTACGCATACCGCCATACTGCTAGGGCGAAGCCGCCATAGTATCTGCACGTGCAGTGGAGAAGAGGATGGACCCTCCATCACTGTACTTCCGACCGGTGGTAACAGTCGAAATGACAGGAGGAGGGGCAAACAGGAGAGGCCGGTTGTAGACAGTCAAACGGCTCCACCTGTCAGTACCGCCTTTGCCAGCCGATGGACACCAGCAATGGAACAACATCATAACTGGAGGCGGGGCAAGCAGGAAAGGCCAGCTGAGTGCACCGTCACCTGTGTGAGAGGGAGGGTTGACCTGCAGTGATCCTCCCTGACTGGCAGAATGAGCAGCTGTCAGTCCCGGGGGGTGGAACAACTAACATACCAGTGCTGAATCTGAGTAACCACTGGAATGTAGGATAACAGTCACTGCACGAGTGGGACGGCTCTAGATATATAATGAATTATATTATACAAACTGTGCTCATATTGCGCATGGTCTGGTATGGTTGACCTGCAAATCAACTTGTAATCTAACACAATACAAGGAATTAAAGGAAAGAACACAACATTGTAACATCACAACATTACATAGTAATATATACATATAATATAGTTACACCTCAAACAAATCTCCCTTCCCCTTTTTTTTCTGGAACAGCTTTTCTGTGAGAAATGTATTCCTATTCAGGAAAAAACAAAAGATTAACTGATTCAAGCGCTTGTGGATTATGATACGCAACAGGCAGCACAGTGTAGAGCCTTGGATACAGCCGAAGGAGGACCTACCACAGAGGAGATTCCAGCAGATAGGGTCAGTCAGTCAGCACCCTCTGGAGATACACTGGACTCTTATTTGCATACTGTTCTAAAATATGTGGACTCAGCAGATCCCAACGTATGGCTGGAGCTAGTCCTGAAATATCACGGGAAAGGGGCTGCGGAATGCCAGGCCAAAAGAGAGCACCAGCTAGCCCTAGCAAGATTGGAGAGATCAACTGCCTCACCTGCACCTAGACCCCGTGTGAGAATTTTCCTAGTTTGGATAAAGACGGGGACCTGGATGTGTTTCTGCGCAGCTTTGAAAAGACTTGCAGGCAGTACGAGTTGCCAAAAGATCAGTGGGCCAAATATCTCACCCCTGGACTGAAAGGGCCAGCGTTACAGGCTGTTTCAGAACTGCCAGTGGACCATGATCAGGACTATGAGACCATCAAAGCTGCATTGCAGCGAAGGTACTATCTCACGCCTGTACCGAAAGAAGTTTCAGGCTTTTCAAAAGAATGCCCGAGAGAGCTATGTAACAGTTGTGGGCCAACTGACAACAGCGTTCAGACAGTGGACCGGAGGGCTGGAGATTACTAGCATGGAAAGCCTGGAGGACCTGGTGATTAAAGAATAGTTTGTGCAACTCTGCCGAGGCAATGTACAGGAATGGCTGCTAGATCATAAGCCAAAAACGGCACTGGAAGCGAGCGAGTTAGCAGATTTGTACACGGCAAATAGAGCATTTGTGGACTGGAGCAAAGGACTCTCAAAGGAGCATCTGAATGGAGGGGCCTGGCACTACGACCCTCCATCAGCAAGCCAACCGTACCCTCCTCTGTGCCTGCATCCTCAGGAACAGGGGAGGCTGGAGCCACTTTCAGGCACACGGATTACCGCAGGTGTTTTATCTGCAACAAAACAGGGCACATTAGTTCTACTTGCCCAGAGAAAAAAATGCCCCACACCATCCACAGGAGCGGGGCGCCCCTCATCACAATCCTCCGTGTTGTTTGTCACCCAGTCGGAGTGTAGCGCCAATGTGAACATGCAACCTGTCACTGTGGAAAATAAGGTAACTGGGACTCAGGGACACTGGGGTATCAGATAACATTCCTACAAATGTGTTACTGGGTACTTATTTGGGTAGGTTGTTATCACAGTATGTGCCTGAGGATAATACCTGTGATTTACCCAAGCCTGCTAGAGGCCTTACTATAGAAAGGGCAGTGTGTAAAAATGTACCAAGGCAGCCTGATGGGGGAGGGAGGGCAGAAAAGGGTGCGTGTATCCGTCTGAGGTGCCTTGTGAAAATGTGAAAGGACCACATCCCTGGGAGGGAGGGCAGTGCAAATCTGTGCCAGAACTGGGGGTGTCTGAGGTACCATGTGAAATTGCAGGGGGGTCACCTGGCTGTGAAGACAGGCAGAGAGTGAGTGAATGGCTGTCAGTGTCAGATGAAGCTGGATCCCAAAATCCTGTATGTGCGTGGGCAAGGAGTGTGAGTGAAAGTGAGACTGATGGTCCAACTGTAGCTGTTGTAACCTGTCAGCAGTCTTCCTGGAGTAAGGATCAGGGGCTGACTCAGCCTGCAGATCCAGAAGGGATGGCTGCAGGGGAGCCTCACCCCTCTTCCCACTCCCTCCTAGTAGCTCATGGTGAGGGGTCTGAATTAGAGCCCGTTATTGATGCAGAGATGCAGAACCCAGAATTCCAGCAGGCCCATCAGACAGATCCCACATTAGAGAAACTGAGGGACTGTGCTAGGCAGCTGCCCACAGACCTTGATAAGGAGCGGGTATACTGGGAGAATGGGTGGTTATACCGGGAAACTGTCCCTGCAGAGGGGCATGATCTCTGGGTAACTGAGCGCCAGCTTGTGGTGCCTAGGAGTCCCGTTTGTTATATCATTTCTATTGGCCTGGTCTGGGCTTAGATGTGGCAAACTACTGTCGTTCCTGCCCCGAGTGTATGAGGGAAGGTAAACCTGGGGATGTTGGTAAGGCTCCACTAATACCTCTTCCCATAGTGGGGGAGCCATTTGAGAGGATAGCGGTTGATATTATAGGCCCCCTAGCTATTCCTAGTAGTTCAGGGAAAAGGTATATTCTGACTGTAGTTGATTATGACACTCGATACCCAGAGGCAGTGGCATTGTCATCTATCAGGGCTGACAAGGTTGCCGATACTCTATTGAGCATCTTCTCATGTTTAGGGTTCCCAACTGAGTTGCTAACGGACCAAGGCCCCCAGTTTACATCTGATCTGATGAAGAGTCTCTGTCAAAAGGTGCAGGTAGAGCATCTAGTTACCAGCCCCTACCATCCCCAGACAAATGGCTTGTGTGAGAGAATTAATGGAACCCTAAAGCAAATGCTTAGAATATTTGTGGAGTCACAGGGAAGGGATTCGGAACAATACCTGCCTCATCTCCTGTTTGCTTACTGGGAGGTGCCACAGGAATCCACTGGTTTCTCTCCGTTTGAACTCCTGTATGGGCGTAGAGTGCGTGGGCCACTATCTCTGATTCGAGAGGAGTGGGAAGGAAAGTTGGGGTCCCCTAAGACATCTGTGGTGGAATATGTCATGCGTTTTAGAGATAAAATGCAGGCTTTAATGGTGAAGTGCATGAAAATCTGAGAACTGCTCAGTCTAGGCAGAAGCAATGTTATGACCGGGATGCTCGAGAGAGAGTGTATGAGGTGGGACAGAGAGTGCTTGTACTGGTACCTATGAGGCAAAACAAGCTCCATGCGGCCTGGGATGGCCCATTCACTGTTCTACAGTGTATAAATGATGTTAACTATGTGGTGTCCTTAGATGTAGGTGAAAAAGGCAGAAGGTCTACCATGTCAATATGATGAAAGTATTTCATGACAGGGAACCCACAGTGTTAACGGTGTGTAGCTTGCCAGGGGATGAAGAGGAATCTGACCCCCTGGTGGACTTGTTGGAGGCCACCAGAGATTTAGATGGATGCCCATTTAACTACTAATCAGAGGGAAAAACTATTCGAGGCACTGAGGCCGTACAGCACAGTCTTCACTGGTAAGCCCGGCAGAACCCACCTAGTGACCCATCATATAGACACCGAGGACCATCACCCCCTCAGACAGGTGGCCTATCGGGTATCCCCGGAGGTGAAAGCTGACATTAAAAGAGAGATAGAGGAAATGCTGGAGCTTGGCGTAATTAGGAAATCCCACAGTCCTTGGGCCTCCCTGTTAGTGTTGGTCCCCAAGAAGGATACGACAACTAGGTTTAGTGTGGATTACCGGCAGTTGAATCTGATAACTGCATTTGATGCCTATCCTATGCCCCGCATCGATACATTGCTGGATCAATTAGCCGGGGCCAAATTCCTTAGCATAATGGATCTTAGCCGAGGGTACTGGCATATCCCAATGACCCCAGAGGCACAGAAACGGTTGCCTCTGGCCTTTTTACACCCTTTGGCTTGTATGAATTTCAGGTAATGCCCTTTGGCATGAAAAATGCACCTGCCACCTTCAAGAGGTTAGTTAATCATGCTGGAGCATACCTTGACGATATTGCGGTGTTCAGTGACACCTGGGATGAACGTCTGCTACCCTTGGCAAAGGTCCTGGATCGAATATCCGCTGCCGAGTTGACTATAAAACCGGACAGCTGGGCATGGCGGAGGTACAATACCTAGGGCACAGGATAGGTGTAGGGACACTTCCCCCAGAGTCCAGTAAAATAGAGGCTATAATGGCCTGTCCTGTCCCACAAACTAAAAAAAAAGGTGATGTAATTCCTGGGTACAGCAGGCTATTATAGAAAATGTTTGCCACACTATAGCACCCTAGCCTAAGCCCTGACTCATTTGACAAAGAAGGCCCTTCCCCAAATGATAAGGTGGACCCCTGAATGCGAAGTTAACACATTAAAACAGGCCCTTACTGACTCTCCTATAGTACAGGCCCCTGATTTCCAAAGAAGGTTCAAGTACAAACTGATGCCTCTTATTACTGGCTGGGAGCGGTATTGAGTCAAGTGGATGGGAAGGGTGACAAGCATCCTATCGTGTACCTTAGGACGAAAATTACTACCACGGGAAGTGGCTTATGCCACCATGGAAAAATAATGTCTCACAATTGTCTGGGCACTGCAAAAACTACAGCCTTACTTATATGGATGCCAGTTCACCGTGATCACTGATCATAACCCCCTGCTCTGGCTGCATAGGGTGGCAGGAACAAATAGGAAACTCCTCAGGTGGAGCCTAGTCCTACAACAATATGAATTCACCATACAGCATAAAAAGGGGAGTATGCATGGTAACACGGATGGGCTGTAGCGTCAGGGGGAAGACTCAATCTGAGCTGCAAAGGAGTGGCATATGAGCCCCTCCCAGTGTGCCTCTTATTAGGGGGAGGTGTCAGGTCCAGTGGACACGATGCTATGAGTTATTGTAAATATGTTGTTAATCAGTGTGATTGGGGGTAGTAGGCACGTTACTTAACCTTCCAGCAGAGGTGGCAAGATGAGGGAATCCCAAGGGTGGCATATGCTACCTCTCGGGGAATTAGTGGCATATGCTACCTCTCTGTGAATTAGCTTCCTGCTCAGGTAGAGGATGGGATGTTCTTCTCCCGCCTGGTCTACCTGACTCACAACTGCGCCCAGACCATACATGAATGCGTTGGTGTGCACTAGAAAGCGGCGGGTGAAATCCTTGGGCCTATAGCACAGGAGCGCTGGACAGCGCCTTCTTCAAGGCCTGTAATGCCCTCTCGCATTCTGGATTCCACAACACCACCATAGGCAATTTATTTTTTGTTAAGTCAGTTAGGGGCTTAGACAGGCTGCTGTAGTTATGAACAAACGTCCTATAGTACCAAGCTGTGCCCAAAAATGACATAACTTGTTTCTTTGTTTGTGGGGTAGGCCAGGCTATGATGGCCTCCACCTTCCCAGTCTCAGGCTTCAGAGTGCCTCCTCCTACCTAGTGTCTTAAGTACTGGACTTTAGTCATACCTATCTGATATTTACTGGGTTTGGCTGTCAGATTGGCCACTGTATACTTGTCCAGGACCTGTGACAGGTGCACCAGTTGTTCTTCCCAAGTGGAACTGAACACCACAATATCATCCAGGTAGGCTACTGCAAAGGCCTCCAGCCCTTCCAGTAGATCATTCACAACCCTCTGAAAAGGTGGCTGGGTCGTCTGATCCTCCAAGTGACGCCCAGGCACTGTGGAACTTCTGAATGACTCCCATGTGCTGCATTTCCACCATTTCCTTTTCGATGTCTGTGTGCACCTCTATTGAGACTCGATAAGCTGACTGATTGATTGGAGGAAGCACCCCAGTGTCCATATGGTGGACAGCAAAGTGCGTCTTCCTAGGTTTCCTGGCGAATGGATCACAGTACATTGCTAGCACTTCCCGCAGCTGATATAAATTATATATCTATATATATATATATATATATAAGAAACACAAAAAAAATGTGCGGCATTGGTGGATCAGGCCAAGTTTTCAGCACAGCAGATGGCAGATCTAATTGGGACAGGAATCCCTCTAAGTCCTCTGGTGAACGAATAACTATGTTCCGACCATCCCTTCTAAGACTCAAATGAAATGGGATCCCCCATCAATATTGGATTCCTGCCTCTCTCAATCTTTGTGTTATTGGGCGCATAGCACTTCTTTTTGCTAATGTCCTTTTTGAAATGTCCGAGAAAAGGGAGATATTAGCTCCATTATAGTCAAGTTCTCCTTGTTCTCTCGCCCTCTGCATGAGCAAGTCCTTATGCTGGAACAAACAGAGGCTACACAATACATCTCGCGGTCGGGGCTGGTTTTGGATTCGAGGACTAAGCACTCGATGTATGCTATCCACTTTGATTTTATCTCTGGGGAAGTTGTTCAAATAATTATTAAAAATCCCCTGAACAGTTTGCATTAGGTCATTTTCACCTATGGCCTCAGGTATACCCCTTACTCGTATGTTCTTATGCCTTTGGCGATCCTCTAGGTCATCTATTCGTGCCCGCAGTGTTAATACCTGGTTATGTAAGCCCTTAATGATCTCTTGTGCTTCTGTTTGAAGATCAATCATAGGTTGCACAATTGTCGCTATCGCTTCCACCCTATTGTGGAAGATCTGCATATCTGATCTCAGGTCTTTCAGCCCTGCATCATGTAGTTCCTCCATACTTTTAAAAAAAGAGACCAAGTCATCCTTATTTGGAAGCACATTCATATATTTGCCAAATACATCAGACACCATCTCCTCCACAATACTCTGCTGTTCTCTGTACTCACGAGATAGTTCCCTTCTGTGTTCACGTGTGCAATGTGGGAATGCATCCTCTCTGATTGTCCCACTCAGCTCAGAACTTTCTCGTCTGCTCATCTCTCCCTTGTCACCGCTTGCTGGCAGGTCGGCCAGAGATGTAGCGCTGCTTGATCCGGTCTCCGTTTTCGGCGACTGACAGGAGAGCGTTCCTCCAGTCTTGCGGAGATACGAGCCGATGTCTACTGCTGCAGGATCTGATGACTCGGGTAGGTGCGGGTCCTTCTTTCTTTTTTTGCCCGTTTTCCCCATCTCAAGACACCATTCAGGGATGGATTATAAAGCAGTTTTAGCAGCTCTGGAAACAGCTTGGACACTTAGCTCATCAGGTAAGGCCGTGGGAGCGTTGGATTAACACGTCCTCACTCAGCCATTGCTCAGCTCCTCCCCTTGATGTTCACCCCTGATGTTAACCCCGCATCTGTACACAGTACCTTGGTGCGTCCAGTGGGTCCAGTTGAGGAATCCAGGGTATCTTCTGCAGACGCATTATAAGAAATCAGGGTTTTGCGGTACCGTGCATTTCAGTGCCAGCTATTACACTGTGCGTGGAAGGCATGTTTGGGGTGCCATTGTCAGGCCAAAACGAAAAATTACTTTTTCCCCCCAACTTTCATAATTTTTGAAAAAATAATTGTATTGTAAGCACATGGTGCTTGAATAGCTTCAGCTAGGGAATGACAGCTGCCAGTGGCAAGATTCCACAGACGGCAGCTTAAAGTAAATACAGCAGGTAGTGGCCTAGTGCAATAGCCAGCCTGCTATCCGCCATTTCAAATTGCAATAGCCAATAGCAAGCTGGGTATTGCACCTGCCCACTGCTTGCTGTGCCCTCCTCCCAGCATGGAGGAGAGAGCTAGGGAATCCAACCAACTCATAAGCGATTATTAATCTGTAGCCATCTATCTTGGATAGATCTTTGATCTCCTGCTGCATAGAACAAGGGCATTCTGCTGGTCCTCTCTTTATGTTAACGCCAGCTGCAGTAGTACTGCAATGTTTTCCTGCTGGGTGGCAGTAGCTTGCTGCTGTGTGGCAGTGGCTTGTAGTAAGGCTTTTACAACTTCTTCCATTTAAACTGTATTTTTACTTAACAGACATCAGTGTGTGTCCGCGATCACCACCATGTGTGACCTGGGATCTTATAGCCACACAGTCTTCAAGGTTGGAAACACCACACAACATTGTAGTTTGTGCAAAGTAAAGTCCTTTTTCTTTTTATTAACAGATCTGACAAAAACAGGCAAAATAAACATAAGCAAAACAAAAAGCCTTGCTTCACTGAGCGCTTACTAACAGGTACAACTGACTGCAATAACTTAGCTTGTTCACAAAAATAGATACACAGACCTTTCAAACTTTGTTTTGCCTTTAGAGAGTCCTCTCAGTCTCTCAGTGGAGTGTTGCAGTATCCCATACTGCTGCCTCTTCACCCTCCATCTCTTTCTCCCAAAATACCTAATGTAGCTTATTCTGACTCCGATTGTTGTATTAGCGATTTATCCCTTGCTTAGACCTCTATGCCTGGCCTGTATAAGCAGATATAATCACTGCGGACAATCCTTATCAGATAGCTGTACTCACAAAATACCCTCCACAAAGGTGCTTTATTGTGTACATCAGGTTACAGTAAACAACAGGATACAGCAGATGAATGAATTGGCAGTATTTAAGGCGGTCAAAGATGATAATGTTTCCAAGCATGCAATGCAGATTAACATGTGGTCATGTTACAAGCAGCCATGACACAGGAAATGACTATTGAAGAAGAAGGGCGGAGCATTACACACAAGGGAAATACATCATAGATGTGAGGGAAGGGAACACAGAAAAACACGTGTAATAACCACTAGATGGCAGTATAGGAACTTAGCCATACAATATCAATGAGAAAATGGCTTAAGGAAAATAAATAGGGGTGCGGAAATTAACGATTAATCCGTCGATTAATCGTTAATTTTTTTGATCGATCAAAGTTCTTTTGATCCGTACTCACCTCTCCGCCGGCTTCCGGGTCTTCCGTCGCAGATCCGTTGACGTCACGGACATCGACGTCACCGGACTCCTCCCCACTCCCCGAGTGGCTCTGTCGGCTAACGAAGGGAAGGGGGGAGGAATCCGGTGACGTCGGTGTCCGTGACATCACTGGACTCATCCCCCTTCCCTTCGTTAGCCGACAGAGCCACTTGGGGCAGGGGGGAGGAGTCCGGTGACGTCACCAGATCGCCGTAGACTGGTCCCCGCAGATTCTTCTCCCCCCTTGGCTCCGGACCGCTGAAGTCATAACATCTAATGCAGCTTCCATAGACCTATGGAGAGATGATAGTGCCGGCATTTGG